AGAGAGAGAGATGAAGCGGGAAATCTTAAATATGGATTGGAAAAGCGACTCAACCCGTTCGCGGCGGCGGGGCGGAACCCGAGGGGCGATTTCGGCCACAAATCTCAGTGACTCACTTCCGATAAGATAGCCGCTAATTTTCCTACGCGGAAAACTGAATGTGTTGCTGTGACGGTTACTTTTCTTTCTTTCTTTCTATCTATGTCATCCTTATTGGTTGTGCCCTGACAGGTTGGGTCGGGTTCTCTAGTTGGTTCCAACGTTGTTGGTGTCCCATTTTCCTTCAACTGTCTGCACATCCCCCACATTTTATATTCTACTAGAGTACTTTCTCCAGATTTTTGGTCTTTCTGGAACTTGTTTTACTTTTACGCACTAAGGATGACAGATTGGAGAAAATTGAGTTGGAGTCGATTAGAGAGGACCCTCCCCCCACCCAAGGGGCACAAGCCGTCTGTCTATGGTATGATCATCCGAAAATCGGTCACCAGCATGCACCCCCCATGGTAGACATAGATAGAAGTATGCGAGAATCCCAAAGAGAATGAAGGGACATAAGCTAGATAAATCGCATTAAGATAGTGTCAAACGCCGTCCCGAACCGCCCCGTTTTGTCAGTTCTATGTACGCCACGCTGCTCGCTAAGAAGAAAACCCAAGTATTCCACACCTCCAAGACAGGAGAATAGTTAAGACACACCTGCGCCCATGCGACATTCCGGAACCTATTTGACTGCAATGGCGCGCTGAGCATGATCATAAACTCCCGAGCGGGTGTATCTGCGCTCTCCCTCTTGGAAGGCTTCCCGTCCTTCTACCCCACGTGGGAACACCTGGTCTAAGACTCTTAAGCCGCCATACCCGCCGTGAAATTCGCAGAACTGGTATGAAGTTGGGGGGACGGAAATAGACACACGATGGGCGGCAGAGTAGCTTCGTGGTGGGATAATAAATTGTCATGCCGTCGTGGGTCGTTCTTTAAAGGGCCGGATTCTCCCTCACGACCTGTTTAACTCGCTTCTCGTACGCTGGGCGGTCCTTCTTGAACAGGTTGTATGCCTCAGCCTGGGCTGGTGACTCCGGGTTGGGGTCATCTAGCAGGTCCTGAATACCCAGGAGAATCTGCTTGATTGTGATTGCGGGCTTCCACGCCTCCTCCTCGTTCAAGATCGAGAGACACACGGTGCCAGAGGGATAGACGTTAGGGTGGAAAAGCGGAGGCACGAATTTGCCTGTTAAATGCGAATACTCTAGTTAGCTTGTTGCGCGAAAAGTGCTATTAACGAAACCTTTCAAACAGCGCGGACGAGTGGCGTTGGGGATGGTACGGGAGAGAGGGGATCCTACACTTCGGCGGCTTAGTGGGGTATTCTGCGATAGAATGCGGATTAGCAGGTTTGTCGCATAGAGCACCAGTCGATAGGCTTCACTCACCATCGGGAAAGGTAACGTCCAGCTTGAAAAGTCCGCCTTCCCAGAGTGTTTGCGCCTTGCCGGGGATACCGCACTCCCATCGTTTGAGGTCAAGTGTTCCTTGAGGAGTCCGATGCGGCTTTGCGTAGAAGCCAAAAGGGTGGTCTCGACGCCACTGCTTTCTGTATATGGTCGCGTTTAGGGTTAGTTCGAGAAAATACACGCCACAATATGCGTATGCGGTGTTGTCAGTCACATACCTCTCCTCCGTCAGACGGTTCTGGCAAAGCGACATTTTGGGGATGCGGTTTCGGAGTACGTAGGTGGGCTGGAACCGAAGAAGGTTGGGATGACGGCGAGAGGGTTGAGAGGGTTGGGAGGGAGAGGGGAAGAAGAGAAGAAAGCGAGGCGGGAGGAACGAGGTCAGAGGGATTTAAAGGATAGTGAGGTAGGCAAATTATGGTCGGCCGTGAATGCGCAGACGAAGTAACACTGTCTTGGGCGTGCAGCTGCTCATCGCTGGGTTTGATGCCCCACAGCCAATCAGTCCCCGGCGGCGCTGCAGTTTATCGCTGTCACATGACCTCATAGATCCGCATCGAACTTTTTGATCGAGGAAAGTTCATTGGCACGTCTTCCATTTCCTCCCTCTGCAGTTGTGCCTTGGGCGACGGAACCAATGGGGTCTTCCATGTGTCCTTGCGTTGTACATGGTGGTTTTATTGGGTACACACAGTTGACATGCAGCAATTATTCCCGGAGATCGCCGTCAGCCAACTCAATGCACAGAGATACCATGTACAAATGAAGTAATTAGTTAAGAGGTTACTGCTACTAGTTTCTCCAACCATTCCAGCAACTTCCTCATATTGGTGGTATAATAGTAGCTGCGCTATGGTTGTAGCAAATAGCCTTTGTCAGGATGTATAGACTATCTCAATCAATATAGTACATTGTAAGTATGGATTTAGGCAACAACCACTGTGGAAGGAGCCTGGAAGCAAGTATATCTCATGCTTTAAGTCACATGACCTCAATACAGTATTGATAGCCACAGGGAAATTACGATATCCGGTCTTTGAGCACTGATAGTAATGCAAAGAGTGACCGGGTTAATAGGTAAGTGTCACTGAAATGGATGCATTCTCCTAGTAGTCCTTTTCTGGCTCCTCAAAATGACTATGCTAAGTGGCATGAAAGGTGAGAGAATTGTCCCTTGCTTGTATTCTTCAGTTCGCAACTTGTGAGGTATCATGTACAGAGTCCCTTCCCGCTATCAGCTATCGTATACCCCCTGTTCAAAAGTATGTACATCGTAGAACCGGGCAGTGATGGCATTCCCACTGAATATCCGACCCTCAAGAGCGTTAACGGCCTAGATTTCTTAGCCAGGTTCTTGAATAAAGCATTAGGTGGGCATGAATGCAGCACTTACACGTAGAGCCGATAGCTGATTGGTGAACTTGACAAAAACTGGCACTGGAGGCGCCGAGTCTCGAGGTATGAAGACACGTTCAACACGACCGTACTGTATCTCATTAGACCGTGCCATGTAATAGGCAAACATCCACTTACCTTCTCAGAACACTCTTCACCAATCTCTTGCATGAGACCACCGCCCTCGCCATCCCCAGCTAATTCAGCATCCAAGTCCATTCCGTCAAGCATACCCTTTAAGATAATGACTTCACTCATTGGACCGAACTTCCCCTCCTCTTCATTCTTCCTTGCGCCACCAATGATCTTGCCCCGACCAGCGGGCGTCGCGAAGCCTCCACCTTCGGAGTCCGGTCGCTTCTTCTGCTTCTCAACCTTGACTTGCAATGGCTTGACAATGCCTGTGCCCGTAGCACCCAGACCAGAGCCCTTAGTCCAGCCATACTTGGCCATGAGACGTTCAGCAAATCCCTTCTGTCCTGGCCGCAGCGAACGCTGGCTCTCATCCTCCGGCTCATCTTCCACTGGCTGCTCCTTTGCGAAGACTTCTTCCAATTCCGCCTCCGACGCAGGTATGTCCTCGGGTGGAGGAGGAAGCGTGTAGCGAACTGGTGCTCGGGATATAGTTGCGGAAGCTGGTTGTAAGGATTCTAGGGGCCTGGGCGGTGGTGGGGCAGCAGGAGCTGCTGCAGGCTGGTTGCCCATTGACAACTGGAGGCGCCGTAAGTAGGCATCTTCGCCTGTAGGGTCGTCCGGAACCTGCGCGGGCGGCTCATCGGTCGGGGGTGGTGGTGGAGGAGCATCCGACATGGAGATATCTCCTGGGGTTTCGCTTGTTCGTTCTGGAGGAGATTCGATGGGTGGCCTGGGCGGCATATCGTTGAGATTGGGAGGCGGCGCGAAGCTGCTCGGAGGAGCAAATTTACCTATGCCAGTCATGAGCAAATGAACACGATCTTGAGGGCAAAATAGCTTACGGTTCATGGGTCGTGCATATTCATCGTCACTTAGTGAGTCCCTGCTGGGCGATCTGGCCATGCGATGTGCGTAAAGACGGTCTTTCCACTCCCTCACCTCAGCTATTTGTTCGTCACTGTGCTTGTACTCTTCGTAGTTGTTCGGTCGCGACGGGTCATAGATGTCGTCCCAGTTCTGCACAAACTCCTGCGCCTCGCGGTTCTTCTTGCGCTTCTTGCGCCCACCTCGTTGCCTCTTCGGACCGGCATAGAATCCATTGACATCGTCATCCTCAGTGGCTGCCCAATCTGCGAGAGTAGTCTTCACGGGGGCTGCTGCCGGGGCCGCGGGCGCAGCAGCAGTCTTTGGTAACGTCGGTTTCGGTTTCGGTTTCTGAGCTGCTAGCTGGGGCCTCTTGGTAGGCTGAAATCTGAGAGAAGCTGGAAACCACCGATGAGAACAACCGGGCGGACAAGTGAGCAATCAGATCGGTCAAATGCAGATAAAACGGCTCAGTCAACAAAAGAGGGTATGAGTCTACCAGCACTGAGCTGCTGCTTTTTGGCAGCGGATTCATCGGACTGAGAGTCATTATTCTCGGTAGTGCTACTCTGCTTAAAGACGACCGGGGCGCGAGCGATCGTTCCGGGCGAGTTATCGGCAGATGGATCTAGAAGATTGGCGTAGAGTGACAAGGTGCCCCCTGGCTTCGCGGGGGTGGAATCAGAAGCCATGTCTGATACAAAATGAAGAGAAATCAAGATCTAATAAGCATGAAGGGGACAGTTCAAGCGACAGCTTTACAGGGTACCATCAATCGATCACCAAGCAATGTGAACGGGGCCGATAGAATGAGGAGAGGTTTGTCTAGTTTACATGGTTTGCTTAGTTTGCTGCATTGTGCCGGTGACTAACCAGAATCAGCTGTCCCAAACAGGAAATAATGGGGGAGCGGAGCCCAAAGAGGAGATCCCGAGGTCGGATGGGAAGACAAGAAAGGGAACCCCTATCCCTTCAGCAAAATACCCTGGGAAACAAGTTCTCGTGGTGTTGTGAATACTTCCTGAATCCCGATTCTCCATCTCACAAGTCCCATAAGCAATTGGATCTCATCAACTCTATTGATTCAATTCCGATCAGCATCCCTGCCAAGCCAAGACCCTAAGCGTTACTATCTGCAGCATACTAACGACGATGGCGACCTTGGCCCGGTCATTTTCCTCCGATAGTGCTGACCTTGCTGTCCTAGTCCCCAATAAACCCACTCCGCTGTCGATCTCCTATCAGCAGCTACATAACCATATCGCCGATTTCCAGGCTAAGCTAGCTCGACTGGGTGTCACTCATGGCGCTGCCGTCTCGCTGGCTCTGATTAACTCCTATGAGTTCATAGTCGCCTTTCTTGCCGCCTCCTGGCAGCGTGCCATCGCCGCGCCCTTGAACCCGGCTTATAAGCAAGAGGAATTCGAATTCTACATTGACGATCTGAGCTCCACTCTGCTTTTGATTCCGAAGGGGTCATACATAAAGGATGGACCGGCCGTTCGCGCGGGCCGGAAGTACCAGGCCGCTATCGCGGAGTGCTACTGGAACGGTTCCGAGATCGTTCTAGATGTCAAGGAACATGGAAAACTGGCAGGCAATGGAGGCGCAGATATTCAGGAAGCTCAACCCGATGACATTGCCCTCGTTCTACATACCAGTGGGACGACTGGCAGGCCCAAAGCTGTAAGCTCGATCTACTATCCCACATCCCATTGGATATCTCATATCACTAACATTCCGATCTACCACTTGTCATGCAGGTCCCACTCACTCACAAGAACCTGACAACCACAATGAGTAAGTAGCAATACAACTATACAGACACACTCCCAAAAGCAAAAAAAGTAGACAATCCCAAGAACAAATCCACTAACCCACTCCAGGGAACATCCAAGCAACATACAACCTCACCCCAGCAGACCGAACATACCTGGTGATGCCATTATTCCACGTCCACGGTCTCCTCGCAGCATTCCTAGCCCCTCTATACTCCGGAGGCTCCGTCATAGTCCCTCCCAGATTCTCCGCTACAGACTTCTGGACCGACTTCACCACCCACAAAGCAAACTGGTACACAGCAGTACCAACCATCCACCAAATCCTGCTCAAAACACCCCTCCCCAACCCAGTCCCCCAAATCCGCTTCATCCGCTCATGCTCCTCACCCCTCTCGCCCAAAACCTTCCAAGACCTAGAAAAGGCCTTCAACGCCCCGGTCCTCGAAGCCTACGCCATGACCGAAGCCGCCCACCAAATGACCAGCAACCCCCTTCCCCCAGGAAAGCGCCAACCCGGCAGCGTAGGCCTAGGTCAAGGCGTGGAAGTACGAATCCTCGACAACAACGGCAACGAAGTGCCTCAAGGCCAAGAAGCAGAGATCTGCGTCCGAGGCGACAACGTAACAAAGGGCTACCTGAACAACCCCTCCGCCAACGCATCCTCTTTCACTGCGGACGGATTCTTCCGCACAGGCGACCAAGGCAAGAAAGACGCCGATGGCTACGTGATCATCACAGGCCGTATTAAGGAACTTATCAATAAGGGCGGTGAGAAGATCAGTCCAATTGAATTGGATAACACGCTCTTGCATCATCCGAAGGTCGCGGAGGCTGTGTGCTTCGCTATTCCGGATGAGGGTCACTATGGGGAGGATATCGGTGCTGCGGTGGTGCTTAAGAGTCGGGATGCTGCTACTGAGGAGGAATTGAAGGCGTGGGTGGAGTCGAAGTTGGCGAAGTTTAAGACGCCGAAGAAGGTAGGTTTCCCCCCCGTCCATTTGTTGTTGCTTTGATGAGATATGGGGTCACTAATTGGATTTTATATTGTAGGTGTGGCTGGTCCCGCAGATCCCTAAGACGGCGACGGGTAAGATTCAGCGACGGAAAGTGGCAGAGGCGATGCTCAAGGTCAAGGCGAAGCTGTAGGATATATATGTACTAGTTTGTTACCTACACCATAGAATGTCTTCTATAGTATGAGAAGTACGACGTTTGTTTAAAAAATATGCTACTTATCATGAACCATGTTACTACGAAACAGTAAAGTATGGAACTGTATAAAGCAAACCCGCTTAATCCTACAATATGCGGTTCTTTCAACATTTAGTTATTACCTAAGTAGTAGAAGTAGTACTAAGTACAACATGATCAAACTGTAGATAACACACAACAACCTGATTTTCACCGATTAGTAAGTAACATTAGAATTATCGAAAAGGCTTGTTGCTCGATGGCGACGCATATCTAGAGCTCTCGAGACCGCCCAGGGCGGAGGGGGAGGGTTTGGGCTTCGGGGCATGGACGGGTTGTTGCAGAGCAGCTGAAGGTCTGGTGGCCGGCTTGGGAATGTTTCCTGATGCAAGACGTGGCGCAATTGGTCTGGGGGTCTCCTCTTTGCCAAATCCTTCCCGGACTAGTGTCTTGATAGTCAATTTGTGCGAGACTTTCGGCGGAATCGAGAACTTGAAACGGGGTTCAGGAACTTCTGGAGTTGAAACTAGTATTGGACATGAGAGATATGCATATATACATAGATAAAGATAATACTTACCATCGGTCGGTGGCTGCTTCGCCGCAAGCGGCTCGGCTCCAGAGGATATGGTCTCTCTACGCCTACCTGGCAGTAGGTGATCGCCAAATATGTGTCCTTCTGGCATGCTCACGCGACGGTGCGGGCAGGGAGTTTCAGGCACACATGTCGCATTTGACTCGCTTGAGAAACTATTCGACTGGGCGCGGTAGGGTGTCTTTGGGACGAATGGCGGCGCGGTCACGTTCAGTCGGGTGGAAGGGCTTGGACTTGCCATCGCTAGTCGGGCATTCTCCAGTGATGTAGGCATGATCTGTCCACCGATGCTGGGGGTCGATTGCTTGTCTGGTTCGATTATAGTCTCAGCTTTCTTTGGAGTGGAGCTGTCCATGGATACATTCTGTATACCCAGACCACTGATGGTCGATTGAGGTTGTTCATCTGGCTCAGCTGCCGCTTCAAGAGATTCAAGAACCGGCTTTCCAAGGAAAGGGTCTTCTTGTGTCTGAGTTGTTTTACCTGTGGAGTCATAAGCGCCTTGCAACTTCCCTTCGAGTGCTGTCTTGCATTGCTTCAGGCTTTCACGGTGCTCACCCGAAAGAGAAGTCGACTGCAAAAGCTCGCACAGCATATTAATCTGCCGACGCAGATCCTCGCTGGCTTCGGAATTGTTATGTTGTTTGGTAGGCATGACATCATGCTCATTGGTGAATGATTCCCTTTTGTCCAAAGATATGTCAAAGTCAACTTTTCTTCTAGTAGGAAACCTAGGGTGAAGATCCTGTTTAAAGTCAAGGCCTTTCAGGTCTTCAAGAGAAGGAGTTAGCACCTCCGTAGTAGCAGGACTTTGGCCATGGATGCTTTGCTCCGGTGGTGTGGAGCTAAAGTCAAGCAGGATGGCTTCTTTGACATCAGTTGCTACCTTTGGAGTGGTATCTATAGCATCCGGTGCAGGAGCTGCCTCTGTAGACGGGTCAGTGGTAACTTGTTCTCGTGTTCCAGCTTGGCTTTCAGGCATTCCAGAATTAGATTGTTCATCCTCCGTCGACTCCAAACTCATAGAGGCAGACCCTTGATCCTGACTGGCGGTATCGAGTACGGCTGGAGGTGGCAAGACTAAAAGCGGCTCGTCCGTCTTGGTTGCACTCTCTCGCTGCAAAGCCGTGCTTCGAGGGGGAATTGCCGGTAGCTGAACTACTGGACGGGGAAGAGGCTTGGAAGATTCCGCCAGTTGGGGCTTCGAATGCGGCTGCGTCTCCTGAATGGTAGACCTATCTGTGGTGTCCATTGGCTTTGAAGACTTTTGACTGGCCTCAGGTCTGCCAGCATCGCGAGATGTTTGGGAGGCAGGAGTAGGGGCAGCCGGCGTAGTTCTAGCGCTAACCAGACTGCGAGCGGCAGCAAGGAAACTCTGTGGCTGACTGAGCATGCTACTATAGTCAACCCTGTATCCAAATGTAAGGTTTGATTTGATATCATTTAGGTGATGGTAATTGCAACATACTGTGACACGGGTCTTCTCGGTCTGGTCATAGAAGACGTAGGCCTTCGCACAGCTAGAAGGATCGTATTAGACGCCATGTATCTCACTAATGCGAATACCAATAGCTTACAAGATCGTCTGTGTTGTCCTCTCATGGCTTCTACCTTCCTTGAAGCGTTTCCTTCACGAGCCGTGCGGTAGAAGTCATTGTCGTCAAGAGCCGCATCTCTATGGGACCGCTTCTGGGGCTGAGCAGCATGGCCTCTGGGTGCAAAGTTGGACGGCCTGCATATTCCTTATATATCAGCCAGAAATCTGTGATAGATAAAGGGAAAAGTTTGATACTCACGGTAAAGAGCTCTGCCTTGTTCCACGTCCTCGGGTGCCTATCACGCCGCCGCCACGACCGACCGGATGCAATGACCTGATAGCCGGAGCAGAACCAGAGCGCCTTTGATCCCCTATGTAATTTTGCCCTCCACTTCCCCGAATCATGGCGCTTAGCTGAAGTCGATGACTTTGTCCATCCAGGAGGCTGTCAAGGTTTTCCAGGTCTTCGGTATCACCTATTGTCTTGTGGACATCTTGAGTACAGAAGTTCAGCAAGATGAAAGAGGCATGATATTTAGGAGGTTCTCCTTTCCAATGACTTACTTGCCCAATCCTCAAGTCTCCCCTGGTTTGCGGTGGCCATGCGTTGAGCAGCTGAACCAGGAACGTTTGTCATCCGTATTGCCTCTATGTCTTCCAACCTAGCCTTCTTATGTCGCCTGTCATCTGCAGTTGAGATGTACTCCCGTCGGGCGGTTCCGAGGTCTTCCTATAGAGGTGAAAGTCTGGATTAGCCATTGACTCTACTCAAAAAGCGTGTATAATAGAGAATTGAACTTCCTGTTTCTTTGCACAACGTACCATTTGAAGCCTCTTGAGGCGATCTGAAGTATTGGAATCCATCTTCTCGAAGAGATGATGCTGCGATTGCAGAAGCAAATCGATGTTCAGATGTCTGTCTAAAAATGAGTTGGGACGGAAAGATCCATGAGTTCACTCAGGGAGAGCTGGACGCGTCTTTTAAACGCGTTAGCCTTACCAGAGAGTGAAGTATCCCCGGGGGAAATTCTGTTGCCCAGGCATCACTAGCAATTTCAAGTGAATGACATTTCAGGGTTGCAGAGGTAGTCAGGAAAGCGAGGGTGAGGATAAGGTACGAAAATGTTTTTGTCAGGGAGGAATAGTAGAGAATGTCGCCACTAAACCAGTCAAAACAGCATAGATACTTTGAATAGTTGAACCTTGAAGGGGAAGCACAATGTGGGGGTTAAGCAAGACAGTAGGTATTACAATCGAGTTTTGGGTGCAATGAATGAGGGGTTTGGCTACCAAGAAGGCAGAACAAATATGCTGGTAGTCGGCGCTGTGGATGGATATCTCAAGAGTCAGGTTGATAGAAAGGAAGATACGAGAACCATATAAAGGCTAAGTGAAACAATTGCGTGTTGTGGGTGAGTACCTGCTGTACTAGGATGCCTGCAAACGCAGCTTTGCAGCCACCCAAAGTTAAGCACCGGTTGATTGGACAAGTTTGACAGTTTTGAGCAAGTTTCAAATCGGAGCAATCGACGAAGTACTAGTCTTCGTATGCCAAGTGAAATCGGTAGCCACCACACTACACTCCTTATTCCATCCTAAGTGTTGCCTTCAGAGGTGTCGCGGCTGGTATAGCACAGCTATCACGATTATGTCAATATAGAAACATATTTCTGTACCAGAAGTTTATACGGAAGAGGCAAAAATTGGATATAAAAACGTGATGGCGCACGACAGTATGTACATTTATATCGAGGCAGCCAGAAAGAAATGAAGTCTATCAGATGGGAAGTGAGCTTAATTATGCCCAGAGACCGAATAGAAATATTTTTACGCTAAGCACTGCAGGTGCTCGCGCCGCCTTCATCTATGGCAGCAAGTGAAAATTGTTAGCAAAGCCAGTCCAGAGGCCATCAGGTGAATAGGGTCTTAGACCTACTACTTATCATCTTCATCACTGCCTGCAACAGGCTGACTCCCATAACAGTTATGCCGAATACAATGCACAGATAGGAGGGGATCTTGGCTTTGTGCGACGCATTGCTCAGCTTGATATAGCAAAGAGGCGGAAAGATATAGGCCAGTGCAGCAGCGCTGGTTGCACCAATCAGTTCGAATACTGCACCTAGGTCGCACGTTATCAAAGCCATAGCCATAGCGGACACGACCAGTGCCGATGTGAATATCAGGTGTCGGTTCATGTTGAAAGGCTCGTCGGGAAAGTAGTAAGTTGTCATCACCGATCGACATACAAATGCTTCGAGCGGCAAGGTAGTGAGCATGTTCAGGCCAAAGCATCTTCTTCGGGTCAGCTTGTTGAATGTCCGCGGAATATGGGCCGTGATCTTACAGTCGTGCGATATTGACCAGAATATTGTCGGATGGGAAATTGTTCAAGACGTTTCCTTGAGTCTGTGATCCAAAGAAAAGGAAACCAAAGATGCCCATAGCTAGACACATCAAGAGTGATACACCAGTCGAGTAGTGGGTTACCCTTGCAAATCGGTCCATGGTCGGTTTCTTCAATGAACCGTAGATCAGAAGGCTATTGTGATCTTTGCATCTGTTAGTCTCGGGCCATGTTAAGGGACAATGCTACATACGGCATACGAATGCTGCAAACAGTCAGTACGGTTTTTTGATCTCATAGTCTACCAATGACCGGAACATACCAAATGATATCACTCCAACAGCCTGGAAGAAGCCATCATTAACCAGGAGCAGGCTCTTCACTTCCCCGCGTGATTCTGGAGGTACGCGAAACCCCTGCGTGATCACAGCTACCACAATGACTATCATACTGATCAACGCGAAGGTGGACGCTTTTCCCAACTACATTGAACTGTCAGCACCGTATACTTCAGCTTTGAGGATTACTGATACTGTACCTTAGCAATGTCTCGGTACAGAGACAGGGGATACGAAATTCCGAGAACAAGAAGAACAATGATAGCGCGTCTGTCGGTCAAAAGCCAGAGGAACGACATATCACGAAGGGAAGGGAATAAAGCACTCAAGACATGCGGTATGGTATCTCCAACGATAATACAGAACGCAATCATGCCGCCAAACGCAAACGCCCACTGCGCAACCGATATGGCGATAAGTCCACTCTTGCCAAAACAATGCTGCATTGTTGCCTGGAAAGAGTCCGCACCGCTTAACTTCGAATTGACCACTATCAGGCGAATTGTCCAATCAACAGCAATAGTGAGGACAATCAGGAGTGTTATTCCCATGAACATGCCAGCCTGTCGGAGGGCATAAGGCTGTCCTATTATACCAGCTCCTATAATGCTATTGGCCATGTTCATAAAGGCCATGCGCATCCCACTCCTCGGCCTCGCACTTTCTAGGTGTTCTTCGGGAAAGAATTCATCGGAAGTAGCCAGGGTCACGCTCGGGGCCTCAATGTCTGTCAGCAGAGGGACCATTTGCCTGGCTGACCGGTTGCGGTCTGCACGGCCATAGTCCTCTTCCTCCAGCCATGAGTCTCCGGAGTCGCGACGACCATTGGGGTGGTCTTCATCCTCGGTCTCGTCGTCCAGGTCAAAGCGAACTCGGTTCATCGTTCGAGGAGTGCGGCGCTGTCCCTCTGGTACCGGCTGTGATATGGAAGACTGGTGCGGCTGTCCGCGGGGAGTCGAGCTAGTCGGGGCCGCATGGTTCACAAGCTCGAAGTCTTGTGTCGGCGACTCGGAGAGAAGTGACTGCGATTCCGGCCCATCGGGGCCTTTCTGGTCAGCCAAGAGAGCGCGCTGTCCTTCATCACTGGGCATCGCTGAATTGTGAAGCTCCTGAAACTAGGAATCCCTGATGCGGAGGATGCTTTAGGGGCCAGGTAATCAATCCCCAGGCACGTGATGTCTTATCGATAAGCCGGCTAAAAATAAACGTCAATAGATCAGTCAATAACACCCAAAATACTTTACTGCTTTGGGCAGCGATCATACCAGCATGTAAGCAATTGCAGTGCTGGCAATTATGATGCTTATATTCCCTTGTAAGCTAAGCTACTCAATTCGCTGAAGTTGCATTGGAGATGCACGACGCCCTTTTTCTTTTGGGAGTATATTCGCGATAAGCTTCATGCGCCTCCGATCCCGCGCGCTTGTGACACAAGGTAGTGGAGACGTATTAGTCCTCATGTTCGAGAGTAGTTCCTAGTTACTACGGAGTTCTTGATCAGTGTTGATCTCTTCATTCTGTCATAGTGTCAACATGTTCCATCCATGCGACTATATACACTCCACCTAGAAGGTGAGAGAGCTAGAAATGCAGGGAATTGAGATCGGCGACGTCTATTCCGCTTAGTTCTCCACAGTCATAGATCCCGCCTCTCCTTTCCTTTTTCGTCTACTACAACCACTTCCCCAGTTGACCGGGGGGCTACTTCACAAATGTATATGTTCATGCTGACTGCTCATTATATAAAGCCACGGGATGGTTTTGACAATTGATCTTGGAGAAGATCGACTTAGTTCCCTTGATTCAACTATCGATCTCAATATTCATGCTTCAGCTCAAGTACTAATTCCTGACGACACTGGCTTAACGGATGCAGCCTGTATCGAGAGGCTGCTCCAGTCGCAAGATTTATGGGTGTCCCAAACTCCCGAACTTAAGCTCTACATTTCGGTCAATATCGATGCGTCGATGGTCCTTTCGGCCTCCACTTTCGCTTCATCGGTCGGAGAGATAATGTGTCGTTCCAAGGTATTCTCATGGTCAGCTCCAGAGTAAACTCGTCTTGTAAAAAGAGCTAACGAATGGCGTGCTTATCAAGCTCTGGTCAGATCTTGGCCTTGTTGCGTTATTCAAGAGCTATAGTCACCTCCATTACGGCAATTTCACCTCCTTCAAGCTCATCATCGGCATTCAAAGGGACTTAAAACAGTCGAAGACGAGACCTACACGGAAGACAATGTTATTCGATTATCTTGACAATATTCATCCTCCAGACTACATCAAGTCTGTTTATCTATCTACAGTCAATACATCTATGTCGTTCACTACCAAAGATGGAACCGCACAGCTATATATACTGAATACAGACTCTTTGACAAAACCGGATGCGGTAGGAAACTATTGCTACATGGACTATATACTAAATAGCACGCAAAATACAATTTTGTTTGATCCCCAAGCAGATTTGTATACGGATAATTCTGACAACACTCAAGCCACATCCTTCATCGATGAGCTAGAAGGGTTGCTTGAGAGTGAACAGAGCCCTCCCACACCCACAGAATCCTTCGAAACTATTCCCCCGAAGGAACAGCGTGAACAACTGTACGATCTTTTTTCAATCGGCCTCGAATCGCTTCTATTGGGACGCACTGCATCAATCAATCGGGGTCATCTTCAAAGCAAGAAGCTACAACCTCTTTCACAAATTGCACCCTCGGTCTTCACCCCGAACTACCACAGGGTAAGACCCATCACTACCACAACGAGAACGATTAACTCACCCCTCCACCAGGAAATGAGTCAACGATCAACCCTAATCCCCTCAATCACGAAATCACTTTCTTCCATACTCAAGCTCCCCAACCACCAATCCCTTCAATCCAAACTAGGCAAGCTAAAAACCCGGTCCGCTACAGCAAACACAGACACAAACAATATCAGAAACACTATAAGTGCATCACTTTTCCGCATCGCCCAGAAACAGCTCTACAAGCCACATACATCCCGGAAACTGCGCTTTCAGTCCCCACCACCCAACCCTCAATGCAAGGACCAGCCGTCGCCAGTCGAAGGAAGAATGTATGAAGAACCAGGATATTCTTCCGATGGAGAAGAAGAACTTCTTGGCTTCAGTGAGCCCGATGAAAGTAGTAGCTGCGCGATGCTATCGACGACTACTGCTGCTGCACCTTCTTCATCATGCGGGTCACTGCCGTTCTCGCAGGATGATTATGAAGATGACGATGATGACATTATGTCCGATCGATCTGATGAAGATGATATAATTCCCACGCTGTTTTCAGATGATATGGTAGAGTTTGAAGGACTTGGAGATCACGATGATGACGATATGCTCTGCAGTAGTTTTTGAGCATTATGGTATCTCAATGTCGTCAAGATACTACTGTCTTTGTCGGAGAAGGCATGTTACTAGTATATACAGTAGGAACTATATAGTATATCATTATTATATGCTGTAGCGCAGCCTAGTAGTCACAACGATGATACTGATTACTAGCCTGTCCAGGGAAAATTGAGTTTGTTCTAATCTGTTCAGTTATTATTAGTACTTCTGACAAACCTAATGGGATTATAAACCTTTTAAAATATTCTCTTCTTTTCGAGTTTAGTAGGACGATTGTCTAAAATACACTTTAGCCATAACAAAATGGCATCTTGTCTTCCCGTGTCTTTCTCTTGACACGTACGCCCTATTGAAGACTGAAAATCACCAATCTACTCCCACAATGAATAGTACACTAGTGACGGAGTGACAAGAAGTACCAGGAACCATTCTATCTTAAGACATTTAAGGGGTATAAAATAAGCGAGTATAGCAAAAGTGAAAATCCCTCCGACACAGCATTAAAGCTTCTTTATCACGATCCAGCCGTCAACCAATATTTTATGCTTTTTGGTTCAGGAAAGAAATAATCAGGGGGTAGTATTCGTAGAATGGAATGATTTGGGGTTCTAAAACGATCATTCCTACTGTCCCTTGATAAGGGACAGATGGCTGAGAAATTTGCCACTAGGAGTATCGGAATGTCAGGACGGAGGTCGTTTGATCAATGGTGAGTCGGAGGGTGGAGGTCTGGTCATATCTATGATGTGAGTCATAGAACCGCATGGGCCTCTTTAAAGGGATGGAGGGACGTGGCAGTTGGGGGATTCCTTGTCTCTATCCTGCTCTTGCGGTGGCATCTTGAAGAGCCCGGATGACTGCCACGTCTTGACACCGGAAGACTGAGCAAGTTGATGAAGTTGGGATGGGTCAAATCGGTCGATGTAGTTTTCATCGAGTAATCTCGGTTTCGGAAAGGCATATTGAAGGTATTCTTCAATGACGTCGCATGAATCCCAGCCTTGAAGTTTGCGAAAACAGGCAACCACGCATCCGGTACGATGCTATAAAGAATATTAGTTACGCATTGAACCAAAAAGAAGACAAGTGCTTACCTTTCCCTTGTTGCAATGGACGAGAACAGGATGGTTGCTCTTATCGAGCAGAAGCTCAAGGATACGACACATGACAGAGTCAGGTATCTTAACATTAGGGTCCTTGTTTGCCTGAACCAAAATGCGATGATGTGCAATGCCGTTCTCCTTGACGAACATCACATGGCTTTGGGGGTATGGTTCATCAACCAGTGTTCTAAGGTCTTGTTAGTCAACTGTCACGAATGCGCAAGCTCGCAGAGATACGTACATTATGGTCTTCAGTCCCAGCTTCTTGAGTGCTGCAAGATTCCAGGGGTAGGGAAAGGAAGAGCGATATATCCCTTTCACGACCTCTCCAAAATTAACTGGTAGCTCTGACTGTACAGACTCAGACTCCACAGAGGAGGCTTTATGACGAGCTATATCTAGAACATTGGTTAGCTACTGTAAGCAACAGACGACAATAGAGAGATCAGGAAACCCCAATATGTTCACTGTCAGCGAACTAACCACTCACCATTGGTACTCTTAAGAGAGCTGTTCGAATTCTTCTCGGTCAACGGACAGGCCATACTGGTACCCTGGTGATCCGGACACCCAGCGGCTGTATGACTCAACACCTCCATAGAGAAGTAGCAAGACTCAGAGGTCTCACAACTTCGAATTTATGAGAAAGGGGGGAGTAGGGGGGATACAATGAAGACCACCAGGAGCAAGAAGAACCAGCCTCAAGCTCAATAACCGGAAACTGCCTTGGGAAGAAAGGGATTATGCGCAAAAGGGGAAAGCTTGTGAGACACGAGTAAGGCTGACTCGCAAGCCTCAAACGGAAAAGATCCGACTAGGAAACATAATGACGATGATAGAAGATCCGTCTTTTTGCGATGATGAAATAGATTGAAGGGGATCTTCAGTAGCCAACGCACAACCTAGGGCGGAATAAGAGATGAGGTCTGAGTAGTATGGAGCTGGGACAGGTATGGGCGGTGAGCTGATGTAAAAGAAGGTCAATAGAAAGCGAGCTAGCTTCTGCCGTCAGACCTCACGCGAGCACAATGCTTAAGCAGGAACAGACACGTGCGGCGCAGCTCTCGGTGCAGCTCTCAAGTGAAGCAAGAAGGAACCCCTGCGAGCGTCTCGTGGCAGAGTAAAGCCAGATAGCTACTCACGTTGGTTACTTCCTGGAAGCACCTACCAGAAAGGCTGACGACAGTTTTGCTTCTCGTTCTTCATGACAGAATAAACAGAGGGGAGTGGGAGAATGCAGTATAGAATTTGCGTTTCAGCAGCAGCAGCAGTTGACAAGGAGCAGAGTCTAGCCGTTGTGAGGAACCATGGTTGGGGCCGACTGACTCAGCGTCTAGAAACGGATCGGTGGTCGGGCGCGACTTCGAAAAGGCACCAACATCACATCATTAAAGGGTTATTTTTTCCATCATCATTATCTATCTATAATAATTGATCAAAAGACAAGTGAATTTATCTTCAGCGGGTAGCCGGAATTCATGGAGGGGCTATGCGAGGTTAGTGAAAGCTTTGTAACAGAGGGCCTAATAATATATTCTAGATGCAGCATCATAATCATGCATCTTCCCCAAGGCCAAACATTTTGATCGAGTTATTCCAAGCACTAGAATGAAAAGATTTAGCGACATATTCAGGCTAATTCCGATGGTATGAGGAAATACTCACGCTTCGCAGACCTCTTCCACAGTTATCCCCTTAATCTGGGCGATGACGTAGGCGACATGGGCTATCGCGGCAGGCTCATTACGACCCTTGACCATGAGACCCTTCTGCCACTTCTCCTTCTTGACAGCCTTTGGCAACTCCGGCGCACCCTTGAGGTATTTAGATGAGGCATGGGAGGGACGAATTTCGCACTAGAGGTCAAAGTCAGTAAAGTTACGAATCAAATGACCGTAAGGTGAGGCATACCCAAGGGCCATCTGTTTCAATCTGGAGTCTCTCCAGCGGAATAGCCTTCACCACCTCGAGATTCTCCTCTGTCTTCAGACTGCAACCATTCACGCCGATATCAAGTCCAAGGGCCACCATGCGCTCCATCTCCTCCAAAGTCCCCGTAAAACTATGCACAAGTCCCCTCTTGGGGAGCTTGGCAAGTCGCGGCCCCAACAGTTTCTCAAAATCCTCACTAGCAGCACGAGAATGAAGGAAAAGAGGGAGTTGAATCTCCACCGCAAGATCCAACTGGGCTTCAAAGTACTTCAGCTGAGGTTCTTTGGCACTCAAGAACAAGCGATCATAATCCAGGCCAATTTCACCGAACGCGACAGCCTGTCCATTCTCCTTCGACTGCAATGCGAGCGTCCGGAGCTCTTCAAGCATTTTGGAAGGTCCACCGGGGTACTCATCGAACATCTTCGCCTGACAAGGGTGGACACCAACAGTTGCATAGCAAAATCCAGCTGCAAGGGAGGTAAAGTCAGATGAAATCACCGCTGTTTGAGGGGGGCGATAACAAACGTACGGTAGTCATGTGCAAGTTGAAGTGCGCGCCGAGACTCCTCCAAGTCGGAGCCAGTCACCATGAACTTCTGGCACCCGATGTCCTTTGCACGTTGTACAATGTCGTCCAGGTCACTGTCGTGAACCTGTTTGCCATGGTAACTACCCGAGAATACGGGATCACTCAGGTTGATTCCAATCTAGAGTCTCTGCATTAGCTACTATGGCAACGAACAGCGAGGCTTTCACGGGGCAGTGAATGTCTACCTACATCAACATATCTGATAGGTTTACTAGTAGTAGCAGTAGCAGTAGGAACAGCCTCAGAATCACCCATCTTGACCGCACTCTTAGCCAGGTATCCCTGACTATAATGAAGCGAAGTAGTAGTAGAAAGGCGTCTTTTGCCTAATATAGAACAAGAAGAATAAGAAGCACGCTGACGATGCAATGCCACCCCAGCAAATCTAGTAATAGTACCAGTACTAATACCAGAATCCAAAGACACTAAATCTTCCCAAAAAGCAAACGAGTCAGTCATAACCCTTCTTACCCCACTAGTACCCTCCACAAGGCACAGGAAAAAAAAGTAGGAGGAACACCCCGCCCCCACAGAACCTATATAGCCTGGGATCTCCGCAACATACCTAGTAGTAGTGATCTAGAGCGATGAAAACAACAACCCCTCAGATTATTACTATTGATAGTAGTAGCTGTAGTACCAAATTGTCTCACGAGATACCCTACACCAGTAGTAGCCCGTTGCATCAGTATGCGTTTTAGTAGGGAGAGAATTAAAAAAAAGTTCCCTCCTAGATGGAAACACACACAGCCTTACAAGGGCGAGTGAGGGGGAGGGGCAAGAAAGAGCAGAAAGTGGGACAGAATGGATAAAATAGAATAATAGTAAGCTAGATAGGTAAAAGTACCAATGCCTGACTGACTCACAGGAATGCGGTTGCGGTGCCTGAAATTCTGGGGATGATTATGGCTTGGGAACAGCCACAGTCATCGATCACAATCGAATTTGTGTGGCTGTGGCTGTGAGTTGAATTGATTATGTCAGGATGCATTATTCCGTTGCTTATGTATGGATGGCCGGCCCACCGTCGGAGAAGGGTCTGGTTTCCCCGGTGGGTAGTGGATAGGCAGATAGGAGATAAGGAAGTAACCCAAGCTTTTAGTAGGTTAGCTTGGATGCTGGACCCGTCGTGTGTGCTTGTTGGTGCGTCGTGCGATGAAGATTATGTTTGTGACTCGTGGCTTACATGTCGGTAGGAAGTTGCATGATGTTTCTGTTCTGTGAAGTTTATTTGGGCCATGTGGTTGATGAATTTTACGACTGTGTAGCCTTGCGGTATATAACTGTATAGGTTAGGCATGTCTTTGCCGTACTTTGGGCTTGAATGCCCTGGAGGTGCGTTCTAAGTTAAAGATAGAAGGTATGTGAGTGAATTGGCAATATGAAAGGTGCTATCTGCTGAATAGCACTATACCATGTGATGCCTGTGTTTCTGTCAAGGTGACGGTTTATCGAAGTATCTTGTAGTCCAAGCATACATGTAGAATCATTATTCTCCGAAATACATAAGAATAGACAGCTAAACGGTCACTACTCGTCGGGACAGGCTTCCAGTGGCATGCGCAAGGTAAGCTAGTCATAGACAGTCGACTTGTCGCATGGTTCATGCTTCATTGATAGCACTCGTCGTATCAATCCCTGGACAAGGAGGGGCATGCTAGATAGCAACCAGAATGTCACAGCGATCGGTATCCAACCATGAGTTCATAGATAGTCAGCGCTACTTAAGAGATATGAACTTCGGATACGTGGAAGTGGCCGGACGACACTTGCGTGGATCCAGACAATGGCGTGCTTTTTCAGCTACCAAGAAGAGGAAAGGCAAAGAGCTGCCATTTACCTAACGGGTCCATGCTATGCTATGCACGCAAGGGATGTATATACCGTTAGACGAATAGGTAGGTCAGTAACTAAAAATGTGTATGCCTGGGCAGGGAGGGTTGTAGGATCCGCAAGGTAATTACCGCCTTAGGGACCCTGTTAAAGACGATGGAAACGATTCACATGCTTGGAGGGGTTATCAGTGCAGATGCATCTGAAAACAGACTAATGCGGGGCTGGCTGAAGCCTTGATTTCTTGGAATCCCTGCCATACTTAGACCAAAGCTCCAAGATGCGACAGCCAAGTCGTAGTGGAGAGGTCATATTTTTCAGTTGATTATCGTACCTGCACGTTCTAACTCCGATGACTACATGGCTTAGCTGGGTCGATGCAATCAGCAAACGGGTAGGGGCTGATAAGCACTTATTAACGTGTATCTAGTCAAGTTTGAAATGTGCTTCTCCGGAATCCAAAAAAGGAAAGGCCATAGAAGGATCTCATGAGTTGATGCATGAAGTACGACATTCAGACGGGCAAGAAACAGAATGGAAGATGGAGGGAACCGCCGGAATCCTGCGGAGGATACGGGAGTCACCGAAACAACTCCCAGAATTTTACTTTTGCCGTTGCAAGCACCAACAAGTCACGGTGGCTGAGTCTGCGTTTGTTGAGTTCGAGCAGGATCAGGGGCTGAAATGAGATGGGGGAAGAGTAACCCCGTAGAGGATGTAGACTACGGCGTATATCAGAGTATCTCGTTGCGGAAGGGCTGGAGGAGGTGAAAGGGGACTCCGTAGGGTATGGGGACTACGGCGTAAATCAGAGTACCTTAATTTTAGTCGGGGGAAGGATCCACGGGGAAGCTGCCGGGCAAGCCAGATCGACCTCACGTGCCCCATCCCGTCCGTCTCCACTTCACCGCTCCTCAACTGTTGAGGGGAGTAGGCACTCCCCGAGCCAGTCATCTCCAGCCTTGAGGCGTCGCATCATGCTACACAGTACAGCTCTGTGAAGTAAGCATCCATCGTCCCATCCATCCTGCCAATCATCGTTTCCACTTGGAATCACCCGATTCAAGATCGGCCTACCTGGCAGGTTGGATGAGGGACGGTTGTTGGGTCTGTACACGCATCCCTCTCGGTAAAAGGCATAGTAAAGTACGGTATTGGCTGGTTTAATCCCGTTGGCGCTAGTAAGCTTCTCGAATGTCGTTGGTTGTTTCTTCATTGCGTCACGGCCGCCGAGCTCCAGCA